CCCGGGATCTGTGATGCTCAAAGCATGAACACATATCTGTGATCTCCGAGCTTCTTGGCTTGTGCATACAACATGGGCTCTGCTGGGTTACTTAGAGATGCTTTTCTCTCTGCGAAGCTTGGCTTCCTGGGCTTGGCTCTGCATGGAGAAGGGAGCTCAGATGTCCTTTAAGCCTCTGCTAAGCTCCTTTAATTGAGAGGACAGGCTTGAGGGAAATGGTGAGCTTTTTCGTCAGAGGTGCCAAAATTAGCTGTTGTTCATCCTTCAGATTTGCTGAAGGCCAATTCTCCTTTCCAGTGAGTCCTACATATGTAAAAAGAAATAGTGATTGTGAGAGGGCATGAATTCACGCAGTGAAGGCAGAGGAGAAGATATAAGAAACCAGAGCCTCAATATTAGTACTGCCTGGGGTGGCATACATGCACCTGCAGCCTTCTCCCACTACCATCTCTCCTTTCTACTGCCTGTGGCTGCCACTGGCGTTAAATATGATTATCAGCTAGAGAGATTGACACGTTTCATCTGTGAAAATATGTAAGTTCAGAGATGGGCTTTTTTTTCTTTTCATCTGTACATAATGCCCCCAAAATAATAAGTATTCTCTACCAGTTGGGAGCCTCCCAGTGGGAGCAATTATCATAAGCTGGTATAAAATAAGCATTACAAAATCTTCCATCAGCCCTCTACACCATCTGAGCAAAGTTAAATGCCAGGGCAAGAAGAGAATAGGAAAGCTAACGCTATCCAGTATTCATCAGCAGGTTGAAAAAGTATGCAGGGATTTTACCCAATACATCCCTCCTACAGCACTCTTTCTCAGAAATGTAGGGAACCTAGGAAACTTTCATCCTACTAGAGCAGCCGGAATATAATCGCCTATCATATCCCCTTTCACTGCAAGAATGGGCAAACCCTCCTGCACGGCTGCTCTATAACCTGATACAGTAATCACACTAGTGCTTTACAGTAATACTTACTTTCCTATGGCCTTCCTGTCTAGAATATAGTTCTTGCTGCAGAGGGGAAATATCTATCTTTCTAGTGTGAAATAACTTCTTAGAAAAAATTATAATTCAGTTTGTCATTGCTCTATCCATATATTGCAGTCTACCTCCATTAATGATTTAATATCTGTGATTTTTCTATGATTGTTTGTTTTTTATATTATCTTCTTGTTATCCCATCAGGGCAATTTTTCTATATGTTATCAAAATTCCAGTTTTATAGAAAGACCTATATATCATAACCTATATTCTAATACATAATAAAATATATAATGCCAGAGGAATCTGGACGTAAACATGGTACAATGCTATAACGTCATTTTGAAGTGATTGACAAGTCATTCAAGAAAGAAAGGCAGCAGCGAAGAGCAGCACAATTTGTAAAGGGCCCAAACCTCTACTTCAAGAGGTGCTTAGCTGTTCCTGGGCTCAACACTGCAATGCCTAGCCAATTTAGCTGACTTGGACCTAGGAGAGCTTACGGTCTTCCTACAATTAATAGAAAAAGATTCTCTTAAGCTAGGGTCCAGGCCCAGGCAGTTATCTCTTTCCACTGACTGTAGGAGAAGCGTAGAGAGAGGGAATACTAACGCTGCCGGGCGAGGGATGTGCCTGAGCTGGGGTGGCACCGTTCCCTGCTGTGTGCTAGCACATCAGTAGCATAAGGGCTCTACTTTCCTAAACATTGCTAATTAAGATCAAAGGAGCTGAGTGCACAAAGAACATTTTATTAATCAGCTCTTCTAGCCTTTCAACCCCTTTCAGATTACATGGGTAATATGGGGCATCATTGGACCTAGATCTGTTCTGTTGCACAGCAGCACCTGTCTGTCTCAGCTTCGTTTTGCTTGAGAGGTATAGCCGTGAAGTTAAAAGGTCCCTGCTCTTTGGCCTCTTTTTCTTTGAACAGTCTCTTCGTGTCGTCTCTCTGTGCACTAATCCCATCTGCACAAACCAGGCACTCTTCTCAGCTGAGCAGAGCATCGCTCGGGACTCACTATATACACAAACTCAAGGTGAACCATTAAAATGTCTTACTGCAATCTATACACAGGTTACTCTCAAGCGGTCAGATTTCAAAGGAGCAAATGCAGAAGAAGGGAGAGCATCTGTTCCTTACATCAGCACAATCAAGCTGTTCAATGTCTTTCCCAGACTAAACAAACTTCTTTCATTTTATATTTGAGAATGGCAAAAGTCAAATCTCAATAGTGAATTCATTAATGATGCCTTTCAGAATGAGTTCTCCTTCAGCTTTTTGTTTACACTTTGTCATGTGCCTTCACAAGATCTTTCAAGGGAACCCAAACAGCTATTCCTTTATATCTAGGAAATGCAGAGCAAGCCGAAAGTGACTCCAAAATAGAAGTCTTTAAGAAAATATTTCATCTTGTGCAGCTGAGTACTGGGCATCCACACTGGTCATTACTGCTATTAGTGGCAACAAATTGTCTCTCTCACCAACCCCTCAGTCATGTTGCAACAGAAGTTAGGTGCCAAATGTTCTTTAATGTTTTCTTGAAATGCAAGCCTGCGTCACAACTAAAGATTTTTTTACGTAAAGTGTACTTGGTGGTGAAGAATAATTTGAGAAGCTGTCTGTTTCAGGGTGTGCAGGAAGACAGATTTATATGGGTAAAGAGGAAAGTTAATAATGCTCTTTGTTGTGTCAGTATTTACTGAAATGCCTTATTAATGGCAAAAAGAAGAGGAAAAAAAAAGGAAAAAAGTACATCTTGAATAAGCAGTTTCCATCCTTTTCTACCCACCATAAGGTTTTCTTGCCCAGTACCTAAGAGTGTGCAAAGAATCTGGCCTGGTTTTGATTATTTATACAAAGACATAAGTATTTAGAGATAAGCTGTCTCACATGGCAAATGTAATGGATTTTATTTAACTTTGCATCTTGCAGCACCATTTGTTTTCCCTAATGTCTTTGTTCCTGTCTGAGGAGGAGATTAACAGAAGTAGTGTTATTTAAAAGTGGCAAATGACAGAGCTGCACTGGGATCAGCCCCAACACCAGCCCAGGCTGGGAGGGCCTGACTCTGTTGTTGCTCATCTTGTTCATGTGACGCCTGCAACCTTCAAACAACAAACTAACCAGTGCAAAAAAATGTTTTAGTTTGCAACCACAGAACAAGCCAAAGCCTGTGAGCAAGCAATTGAGAAACACGTTGTCAGCAGAGCATCTAGCTAGCAGGAGAGAGAGAGACACGCAGCCAATGTATAGCTGAGACTCTTTCACAGCCTCACTGGAAAGGATGAATTCATCACAACCGTGTTGTCTTCTGCCAGAGCAGGGGGCAACACTCTCCTCCTTCTTTGAGATTCAGTCTGTCCGATTTGGGGTTCCTGAAGAAGCAGGAAGAAGGAGCTATCTGCATTTCTCCAGCACTTTTTCTGTAGGTAACAATTACAAACTCCCAAGTTTTTTTCTGCATTGGTCTCTCAGTCATTTTGATAACATAAGCAAGCACTGAATTAATGCTATGGTTGTTTTTCCTTCTGAAAGTAAAAATCTGCCATGGTATCACATTTTCAGGACAATAAAGCTCAACTGCCAGCCAATTTTACTTTTGGAGAAATATCCAGGTGCAGCTGATACTGTACATTGATTGTAAATTGAATCTGCTGCATACAAATGATTTTTCCATTATGTCATTCATAGTGATTTTAAGTGTCTTAATGACATGGCTGGCACATTCACTCTGTCACCTGAACCAGCTGAGTGCTCGAACGTGGATGGACTCAGCTGCTCACTTGAACTTGTGCTTCACTTGAAGCACCAGAACTGTCCCATTTATGTCCATTCTCCCACACGGCTCTGAGGCGCTGCGCAGTACAACCCTTGAGAAATGTGCAGCTAAATGGAAGAGAGAGTCTTCCTCACAATCAATGCTTTCAAAAGCACACAATACTTTTGTATACTTTTGCAAATGCTTTTTGCAAACTTCAGCAGTACTAGCTTGAATTTTATTACACAACAAGCTAGCCATTCTTACCTCCACTTGATTTATTTTGTTCAGTCTTGACAATTATTTAAATTGCCATAAAAGATACAGCTGTCAAAAAAGGTCTGGAAAAATGCCCTGTGTTATTTACTTCAGGGTACAAACCCTCCCAGAAGATACCAGACCAAATCTGGTTTTAGTTGCAACACTGTAAATACAAGTAACTCCAGGGTGTCCTCATATGTATGTGCAGTACATAAACAGGAAATACTTGGGTGTTTGGCAATTTGCGTGAGAAATCCATCCAGAAGTTTATAGCACTCGGGCAACTTAATTCTGCAGACCAATCCCTGTCCATCGACAGGAGACATTGCACAGGAAAGACACTCTCACTGCATCGGGCCTGAGCGAGGCTTGGCTGTAGGGCCACGGCCTTGGGGACGCAAGAGACCTGGTACCAGCTCCTGATCTTGCCTCACGTTTTTCTGTCCCAGGGCGGGTGGCTGATTCAATGTCTCAGTTCAGTAAGGATGAACATATCTTCCTCCCTGGGAGGAGGGTTGTAAGGAGTCTTGGAAAGAGGAGGGAGCTCCAGAGGCAATAACAGGCTGCCTTTCCTGCTACAGATTAAAAGTGTGCTAATCAGGATATAATTGATATTAGCTAGCCTTGAATCCAAATGTAAGTGTACTAAAATAGCATAACCAACACCTTACTTATATAAGCATTTTTTAACGCTGTGATGGCATAGTCAGATACAACATACGAGTATTTTAACACAAGTGTATGAGCAATGTGAGCACCAAAAGGGCAAGCAATGAGTGTAGCTGCACGTAGGAGACACAAAAAGTTGCCAAAGGGAAAGATAAGCACAAGGGACTGCAAATAAGCGGGACGTCCTGCCAAATGCACAAGAAGAATGGCTGGAAAGCCAAAAAGTAAGTATTATCAGGAGCGGAGGATACCACCCCTTTTAGGAGGGAGGCAAAATAACATGAGAACCTCAGCCATGACAAGGAAAGACAGAGAAGAAAGAAGACAACCCACTTTGGTGCTCATCAAATTACTCTCCAGCCTGTTCGCCTGGACCTCTGGACCGCAGCCACCAGTGCGGACTTTACTGCAGCAGCTCCATGGTATTGTATACTCACAGCTAATTCAGAATATGAGTATTAAAGTCTAATCTTTTTGTATATGTAGTGTTGATGATTAATAATGTGTAAAACTGAACCATTAGCATGAAGGGCTGTTAAAGAATTCATTCATTAATGATTTGTTTTAAAGTTTAAAACTAGCTTGATTTGTCAGTCTCCTAACACTCCCATCACAGCAATCTCTAATTCCCTGATATATGTACGTATATACATATACATATATATATATACACATACATATATTCAGTGGCAAAAGTTGAGAGATCTGTGAAATAAAGGGAACAGAAATTATATGTGAAGCAAAAAGATCTGATAAATGAAGGGGGAAGAGTTAGAAGTTTACAATTTATCTTCAGTGTTCATATACTAGGACAGCATCACTACTGAGAAAAGCAGCAGAAGTGACAATGTTCCTCCTTTCACGCCAGAACGTAAACCTTTACTTCCTCTGGAAAGAAACTATGGCTATGAGCAATACCATACAAATGCTCAAAGCAACTGTTGCTCAAAGCAATGACCTGCTCATTAGACAGTAGGACCTGCCATTTGGTGAACAGCCTGATGAAACTTGGTAAAAATAAAGACTAATTTTTAATTTAATTTCACATACATTACCCATGTATCTGTACTGATTGATTTTTTACTAGAATGTACTGATTTCTTTTCTGCTTGGTTTTTCTCTGGCATACAGAGTTTCATCAAAGGAATGTATCAGCTCTAAGCACAAAGGAAAGAACAACCAAAATACAATTTCACCAGTAAACTGTAATTAAAATTTATGGCTTAACTTGACATATATGTGGCAGCTCAAATGGAAAGAGCCCTGTATAATGTAATAAGGTAGAGATCCAGAAGGCTATGCAGAACTATAATTATATTGACAGAAATTAGTCTAAAACCTATACTACTTAATGGAGAACATTTACCTTAAGTAGAATTTTCCTTAAAAAATTTGCAGGATTTTGTGCCTTGTATGTAATTAAGTCTCTTCTAAATACTGTCAGATTAGTTTGAAAAGTAATAATTGCTTCTGATATAAAATTGTACAGGATTCTTCCTAAAGGGAAGATTATTCAAAACTGCTCTTCTTTCTTCTGATAACATTTTCCAGTTGAATCTGGGTGTTTAGTAAGTGCTGCTCACCATTTTCAGTTATGTAGTACTGATATGATAACTAGCTCACAAAGTTACTTGCAAGAGTTATCACAAGGAACCTGATATATAGCCAATCACTTGTACTGTGTATGATTTCAGTCCATGACACACAGAAGAGACTAGCTAAACTTAGTCCACAAAGGAACTAGAAGTCACAGCTTCTCAACCTGGTCCATAAAGCAGATATCATACCATAGATAGAGGTCTACTGTTTCAAACAGGCCTTACTCTGAGTAACACTACAGCAATGTCTCCAAATAAAGTATTTTATAATGTGGCCTAATGGCTTTACTTATGCTTTTCAGGAGGTCAAGGGACCACAATGTTAGTCAGAAAAGAATTAATGACTGTTTTTTATTAAGCCTAAAGAACTTTAAAGTATAGCAAGTGAAAAAAAAAGTCGAACTTACTGCTGTTTCTCTAAAAAGGACATGCTTATAAGGAGAAAATAGGAATCCAATGGTATTCAGTAAAAGCAACTTAAAGAGAAAAACAAATATCATAGTAAATGCCTGGTCAACAATTTTTTCATTGACATACCTATGTCCTATTATGTCCCACAAGAATGATTTACTAATAAACTCAGCTGAAACTTATTAATTTATGAGCGCATTACAGTGTGCCCTTTATGTCTTGTTGCAAACAAAGTTAATATACAGGGTTTAAAACACTATCCGGTCCAAGGTATCATATCACAGATTGCTATAGTAAAGGTTTTGTTCTCTGAGGTCAAACTTGGGTGTTTTTTTTCTTCTGAGCTGCTACCATGTAGCCAGAAAAGTAGGCATGACAATTGGTCAAAATCAAGATGCTTTTTGACTCTTTCCCTGGCCCTGGATGGCACAGCATCCTAATCATCTTCTGCAAATACACAGAAGTGGTCTCTCCTCTTCAAGGTGATGACCTGACTTGTTACAGGAGATTTGGATCCTTCAGGAGTAAGTATAGCTTTTCAGTAGCCAGACAGATTTCATTGGTAATGCAGGTGAAGTGCTTAGGCTTGATGAGCCTAGGATCTGTTCTTTTCAAATTCCTTGCAAAGTTAGATACCTCAGCTGGTTTTCAAATGGCTGGGTTTTGATGCCTCAGCTGAGGCATCAAAACTATGATGCCTCATTGACATGAGAGTTTACGAGCACGTTTAAGAGTATGTTCCTGTGACTTTGCATGTCAGCTGTTCTCAGTCTCTGTAACTGGCTTCTCAGTGCCTTCCCTTTCCTAATTTTCCATCAGGTGTTTGAGATATTCAGATGCTTTCATATTTCTTCAGGGAACTTAATTGTTCATTGTGAATCAGGCCAGAGACAGTAAAACCTCCGGATTTCTTCCTTGCAGGTGAAATTAAGACCCTCAGTGGATTCAGCAAAGCATTTTATTTTCTTTTTATTTCAATTACTCTGTCTTTCCCAAGGGCGTATGTATCACTGTTACTTTTGGAATGTGGAATCATGTGAGTATCAAGTTCTGTATAAGAACAAGATACTATTTTTGTTTTGTTCCGGTTATCACTGATCAAGGCAACCTAGTGAACTCATGCTCTTTTGTCTTAGGTACCAAAGCTGAAATCTAGATTTGCCAAAAAATTTATACAAAGCAGAAACTTAATGAGCTTAGTCTTGACATTTGGCAGTTCAAGACTGAGTTTGAGAGACAAATGTTCCTTACTCATTGGAAAACCATTAGCCACTACCTGCAGGAAAATTCATCTGATTATATGAATAAACACCTTAGGACCCCTGAGTGGTAGTGGTAACTTAATAGTCAATGTGTCTTAATAGTCAAATAGTGGTAACTTAATACAGTCAATGGAGTCTAGGCCACAACTCATCTCACTCTGTAGTAAATGTTTAAAATAGGTCAGAGGAATCATGTCGTAAAATTGCCTGTTTCTCTCCATTGACAACAGAATGAGCCTAGGATTACTAGTTTGGATGCTGACGTCTACCTTGTAAATATCCAAGGTCAAATGAGATGAATCTTGCCCCTCATGGGCTCAGGAAAATTCAGTCATTTCCCTAAATTCTGTATATATATTTCAAGTCCTTCTGATTAAACACGAATCTCAAAGAGAAAAATTAGGGACTATGAAACAGTATAGGCCAAAACGCAGAGAGGCTGGAGGGCCACCTTTTAAACTCAAACTTGTAAGAGGACATACCTACTATCTCATTCAGTACTGAGTAAAGATCCCTAAGCTAACATTGAACAGGACAGTTTCGGAGGTGAAAACAATTAATCTGTCTGTATTTGAATATAGAGAAGTATGTTTAGAACAAAGAAGTTTTAAGGTCCTCCATAAGGTGCTGCCCAAAGGCATGTAGAAACATGAGCTTACTTTGAGCTGGTATAGGTGTCTCTTCCAGAGTCCTACTTCCGTATAGTTTCCAGTCTCCATAGCCTTGTACTCTGGGTGCCTTGAAATACCCCTCCAGCGGTACCCTCCAGGTATGCGGTGCGGCGCTTCAGGACTCCCAGCAGCGTCCGCTGCATCTCCCTCATTTACTTTTGCTGAAGCGCTTGCTACAAACCAAAGCTTGTTTCAATAGAGAGAGTTGAAGTCCTATTGCTTGTCCACCCCGACTTTTATTAAAATAACCTTCAATATATAATGGGGAAAGAAAAAAGCAGCCTCCAGTCTTTAAAACTCTCTCATCTATGCTTTGCTAATTCTACCACTCACAACTCATATTCACAGTAAGTTTTCCCCCTCTGCCTTTTGCTTGTTTGTTTGTTTTGTGGACTATGAGAGCTTAAATATCTCTGATACTAGCACTAACAAGATTCTTAAATGCATTAACAGATGCATTTGTGTATTTTAAGACTGTTTGATGGATACAGAACTGTCATCACACTCACTGCAATCACATTCACAACAGTGCATGTGGCCCACACCTGGTGAATTCTGGCAATCTTCGTTTCTCTGTTTCACTACTATTTAACAGTTACTAGTTAAAATCTAGCTTTGAAAAATCCATGCCGTGCCTCCCATTTTTTTAAAGTTACCTATTAGAAATGAAAAACAAGACAAAAAAAGAAAGGAAAACACCTGCATAAATGACCCAATGAGCAGGAAACAGCAGGGAGAAAATCTACCAAACCATGAGCCAGGAAGACTACTGACATGGTGATTTCTGCTATGACTAAGCAGGAGATGTAGCAGAGTAGAGTAGTATGTAGACTGAGCAGGAGTGACTCAGAGAACGTGAGTGTTGTTATCACAGCTTTTTTCTCATGAGTACAAGTCAACCAGTTGTTTAACTCCCAGTGAAATTGAACAGGAGGTGGCAACTGAATTTTCGTATCTTTCTTTGAAAATCCTAGCCCATGGTCACAGAATTATCAGTAAATAGTGACTTATGGATCTATTTTCCCAACAGCTTGTAAGCAGAACTTGTCAGGGGATTGAATAAAAGAGTTGGGTTCAAAATAGCTGAGATGTTGTGGCCTTCCTCATATGGCTTATGCCTCTCAGAGAAGACTGACTCAAAGATAGTTCCCAATATTTACTCTATTTTGATACTTTTTTTTATGTTTAGTGCAATAACTTTTTGTATCAGAGGAAAGGCTAGATCACCGCTGTTGATATAGTTTAGATATGGAAAGTACCAGTAAAATCTTTGACAGTCTCCTGCCTGCAGTGAATTACCAGCTTTTATGTATGCGCACAGCAGCTACTAGAATGTAAAAGTCATTTCATCGACATTTCATTAACAAAAATTAAGGTTTTACATCATATCCTTGCCTATAAAGACAACTCTGAAAGTATTTTGTAAGCAGATTCCAGGCGTTTGCCTGGAAACAGGATGGCCATACTAGGTTGCAGATGA